GCCCATAAAGCTGTTTTTTAAAGAAAGAAATTATACAATGGGAAATTTAAATTATTTTTTTTTAATGTTGCTCATTGGAGTGGCAGTCAGGCATGTGAGGAGTCCCATCTGAGGAGACCCTTGCTGGACTCATTGTCCGCGTTTGGTAGCTGCGGGAAAGCCACCTCTGATTCTGCTGAAGGCGGAAAGACAGTATTGTCATGGGCCCCCTTGCCAGAGCACATGGCATGAAAAAGCAGAGTGACATCTGCTTGCTTTCCCCTGGGAGCCCTTATGTTTTATGTGCAGCAAGGGGGACTGGCTTATGTCTTCCTAGGTCTCGTGTTAGACACTGGATGCAGTGTTGTTGCTTATGCTGGGTGCCGCTGATGGGAGAAGCAGTTGAGGTGATGCCTCTACAAGAACCCCCCTAATTTGCTGTGGGACAGTGAATATGCCTTGTCTCCCTCCCCCACCCCCACCTCCAGCCCCAAGTATGCAGACAGATACTGCTGGAGAAGAAAGATGGGCTCACTGTATTTGTTTTCCTGGCTTTCTTAACGTTATTCTTCACATTTGTATCTATCCTCTTCTGGTAGAGATTTGAAAAAACACTTTACTGTGTCTCCCAGTTGATTCCCTGGCTCATCCCAAATGAGAGAAGGAATGAAAGTCTCTGGGGGTATGACCTGTGAGGATCGGCTTATCAGAGTATGCTCAAGCTTGATGTAAACATATCACTCGTGAAGGGCTGACATTTTACTCGTGACCACTGAGTACACATCCAGACAGTTTCTTTTTCTTATTGTGATTAGCATGATTAATTTTTTTAAAATCTCTTAGCACTTTATTTTTTCCCACTGGGTCACGTAACACAATTCTTGGACCTAAAGAGACAGTTTGAGGAATGGAGGTATTCTCTGTCACCGGCCATTAATTCTGTTCAGCTGGTGGAGGGAGGGTGTATTTAAAAACCCAAACTGTTCTTCCTTTCAGTCGATTTGAGTTGGCTCTAAAATAAGAAAGGAAATGTGATGAGCACCACTTCTCTGTGGAGGTGCCCAGTCACTCTACTGTACACCTGAAACTGATAGGACACTGCATGTTAACTCTAATGGGATTAAAACACAAACTTGGAAATATAAAAAATAAAACAAGGAAGGGAATTATCCTTGAAGGAGAAAAAAATAAAAATAAAACTGCATAGGCACACTTCTTTGCAAGCAGGGAAGTCTGACTAGTAGAATATGGTCCAGTTTCCCTTTCTCTTTGGCCAGAGAGCAAGCAACAAAGACCTCCAGGGGAGGCTCATGTGTTTCGTGACTTTCTGTCTAAGTGTCGTGATTTTTTGGTTTCTGATGCTACTGAACACCCCCAGTTTAATTGCTCTCCTTTCCCAGCATGGGGATTTTTGGGTGGGAAAGGCTTGGCTGAGGAGAAGGATCCATGGTGAGGGAAAGAAGGTGACAGAGAAAGGCCGATGGGCAGAGCCCTGGGAAGGGATCCTGTCCAGAGCATGGGCGAAGTCAGTCTCGGCTCACGGGAGAAAGCTCACAATGGCTGGGATACGGCTACGTGTGAGGTGCAGTGGGGGCTGGGTCTTAGGAGGCTGCAGAGCATCAGGTGATGGTCCACAGGTCAGAGATGTCACCCCTCATGGGACTGACGGAGTCTCAGCATCGAGCCAGCCCTTCCTCTCGGTGGCCACTGGCTCGCCCACTGTGCTCAGACAGGAGGCAGGGATCACGCCAGGGAGGCGCGGCAAGGGATTGGACCACCACTTTATAGGTGGAGTAACTCCATCATCCCTGGGAATTCTCACCAGAGACGAGGGGACATGAGGTTTGCACATCAGAAGGGGGTTTACTGCTCCAGCAGCTCTGATTCCAAGACATTTTCAATGTTGAATGTTTGGAACGGTGTTCAGTTCCGCCTGTGACTCAGGGGAAACCAGAGGCCCACTCAGTGTGCCTTTACCATCGGTGGATGCTGTGGTTACTCCTCTGGCTGCCCCCAGGGACAGGAACCGTTTGTCCCTGTATCTGTCCCCAGCCCCGATCTCATCAAGAGTGAAGGGGAAAAGGAGAAGGCGGGTGTGGGGTCCCCTGTCCGTGTCGGTGACCCTCAGCCTCTCTTCCCCACAGATGGTCGGCTGTGACTACGAAATCGGCTCCAACGCCACGGAGGATCGCTGCGGGGTGTGCCTTGGGGACGGCTCTGCCTGCCAGACCGTGAAGAAGATGTTTAAACAGAAAGAAGGATCTGGTAACAAACAAATAATTGAAGTGGCAGGGGACTGAGAATGGAGGGCAAGATGGATGGCTGTGTTTTAAAGCAGATTGTAACTTTCGAAGAACTCCGCAGGGACGTAGCCTTCCAGACAAAGGCATAAGGGCTCCTTGACAGGTTTAGGAATGGGGCTGATTGCTGGGCACTTACAGGAAGTCTCCCACTGCACAGGGATTTAAGTCTCCCACTGCCTGGGGGCTGTCCCCGGGAACGGGAATGAGTGTCATTCCTGGGAGAGCACCCGGGGCTGAAGCCAGTGGTATAGGAATGGACCTCAAACTCAACTGGGGGAGACAGAGCTCAAAAGCCGGTCATGAAGTGTGTAGACACAGGGCGGGCTCTCAGGGAGAGGGCAGAGAAGCCAGCAGTGGGCTTCAAGGCAGAAGGCTCGGAGTGCACCTTCAGGGACAAAGGAGAGGCAAGGCAAGGTGGCTTGGGCTTGCTCTTCTTCCCCATCTCTCCCAGGAAGGGGGTCCCACCCGCTGCCACCCTATGGTGTCCCAGGGGGCGGCTGCCACCTGACGTCCCCTCCTGACCCATGCTCTGCTGTTCCTTTCCCATGATGACCTTCCACAAGATTTCTACTTTGTGCGGCTCTGGGCTACTAATAATCCTCGGGAATGAAGAGCCCACCCTCACCCCGAAGTAGCCATGACCCTGCCTGTTTGTCTTCAGTTGAAACTGCCGATCCCTTGACACCAGCAGTGATTGATAGCTGAAGCGGTCTTGGGAGGAGGCTAAGTTAGGCCCAGAGATGATGAAGACAGCTCGGAGTATCAAAGTTTAGGCGCCCCTAGAAATACACTAAGACAAGAATTCAGGAACCAAGAGTTTACTTGCGAGTCGGGGGATCCTGGAAAACACCAGTAGGGCATTCAAGAAGTGAAATGGGGAAAGGAGGAGAGCCAAGAAAGGGTGCGTCATTAAGCCAGTGACCATTATGTAGGAGCCAGCGTCGAAGTTGTACATTGGAATTTTCCCACCCAAGGGGTGAAGGAGCTGAGACCATATATGCTAACTCTTGCCGGTCACTGCTTGAGGCTACTTTGAGGAGGGGGCAGTTAGGTTGTTAATTCTCCGGATTCCAAAGAAAGGCAGATGCTGAGAGTAGGGAGTCCACTGTGCACTCCCCAGGTAGGGCCTGAGGAAAGAGGGGCGGTGTCTACACTGGAGTGTTACCCGGGGCGGGAAGTGACAGGGACTCCCAGATGTAGTGGGCCACCCTTTTCCTGGGTCCCGACAAAGCAGTGCCTCTCTTTTAGACATGCTCACTGCCCAGGATGAAGTTACTAAGTATGCCCTCGAGTACCAGGTGCATTGATTAAATGCCCTGTTGGCCCCCAGGACACGTCACAGTGGACGACCTGAATTTGTTTAATTTCATCCCTATTTTTTGATCTTTGACTATTGAATTAATAAGGTTAAATTGTAAAGTGAAATGCTTATCTTGCTTTTTAGAATTATCACTGAAGGACTATATTTATGTCTATTTGATGGCTTTTGTATGCATGACACGTGTCCTTTGAATCACTTATTTGGAATGTGAATGATAACCCAGTGTGTCTTAGGCGTATGATAAATAAATAGCTAATATTTATTCAGTCTTATAAAGATGCTATGTAAATATTTTCTGTTAGTTAGATGTGACCTTATTTACTTGGATTATAAAGTCACCCTTAAAATCACGTTTCTACATTTGCTCTCCCTATTATTTATCTATGGGAGTTCATATCTTCGCCCTCACATATGCTGTGCTCCCAACATTATGGTAACTCTTTTGAAAAGCAGTTTTCATTCTCAAATGTCCACCACTTAACCTTTTAACTAAGCCCTTAGGAAACTGGGCTTTAGTTCTGGATTCTTGACTCTACTCTGGTTTCTTGGGAGTGGGGGAAAAGAGAAGCATCTGGAGCCTCCCTCCCACCCCCACCCCTGCCTTAGAGACCTTAATGCCTCCAGCCACATGCCCAGCACCGAAGATTTGGCATCCCTCGTGCCTTTGATTTGCAGTCCTTCTTCTCCCATTTGCTTCCCAGAGAGCTTCTGCTGGCTCTTGGCACCCAGGGAGGGGTGTCAACTTCAGACTGTGCGTATCCTGAGAAAGCCTCAAAGCTCTCTGGCACTGCTAACCCCAGCGCGGTGAGGAAATCCAGCCAGATCTCGCTCTGGACTCTGTTAACACCCAGCAGGGTCGTCTGTGTTCCTTTTACCCACCAGGCAGATCCCACCTTTGCTGCATGCCTAATAAAGCCAGATACGTCATAAAGACCCTGGCTGCCACCACTCCACAATAGGAGTGAAACCAAGAAATACTGCAAAACTATGGGAAATGGAATGAGATGGCTCTGGGCAGATTGATTAACTCAAAGGCCAAAGTCAAAAGAGGGAACTTAACATCCTCTTTTTGAAGACACCCAAGGCATAGTTAGTTGTTTTCTGTACGTATTCACATGCTGCCTTACTTCTCCTTACGTTGTATTCTTTCTCTCTAGTGCAGTTATAAACTGAGGGGTGAATTGTCTTTTAGGCTTTGTCACCACCCTGCCCAACCCCAAGTCAGCAAATGTTATTTCTATCTGTAGGAGGTATTCAGTGAGCGCTCATATAAATGCAAATGAAAAAAGGTTTTCTTAAGGTTGATTCCATATCCCTTTGACAATAAAGGAGACAAGTCGTTAGCTGTTTTACAGTTATGTTGATGGAATATTGGATATTTTTCCTCTGCGCGGTCCTGTTCCTGCTGGCTTAGCTGTAGTGTTGTAGCTCTGGTTGTTTTTGTTTTACCATGGATTGGTACAGTATTGCAACTGTAATATTGTAAACCTAATATTATAATACTGGGTTTGGGTCACTTTCTTACTGTGGCCCAAAGACATAAATCTCAGAGTTTTCCCCTTCTTGTGCATATCCTGAAGTATTCTTTTCTCCTTGTGTCTCCACCCTCCACTGTGGTTTCTTAAAAAAATAAAAAAGAAGAACTATGGTTTCTTTGGTGGGTGGCAGTGATTGGCTTGCGGGGTTCCCACTGTAACTTCATCTCCCGGGTCAAGGCACCTTCAAGAATCTGTGATATGAGGGGAGACCTGAAGGAGGATTCTTCCAGAGCAAGTATGTTTCTGCAGTCGGTTACATGGGGGCTGTGGTTGGAGATGGCTTCATTATCCTGGCACTTAGGCGTCAGATCTCCAGAGCCTTGTTATCACAACCATGACCTTGAGAGAAAACCCAGTGTCTCCTTTCTGAGGGAAGTTAACAACCATCAGACAACACCAGAAAAACAGTGAACTTGGGCAAGAGGTAGCACTAGCACTTGAGGCAAGGTCATCTCTGTGACTAGGAAATAATGGGAATATGTAATCAGTCACCTAGAAGAATCCAAAACTCTTTCAAACTTTGCATAGCCTAACTGATCCATGCGTCTACTTGTGTTCTTCTTCCTTCCTATTTAATTTGGCTTGTGGCTTTCTTTTAACAGAGTGGTTTAAAACAAAAGTGTAGGTGGAGAAGTCTGCATTAGAGATGCACATGGTGGTCAGACCCAGCTTCTCCTCCTCTCTCACTGCTGCTCCCTTTGACTATGGAAGCATAAAATATTAGCCAAGTCCCTTTTCCTCTTTTTTATTGTTGTTTGGTTTGGTTTGGTTTGGTTTGGTTTGGTTTGGTTTTGTGAGTGCTCCTAAGAAAGAGGGAGGATGATGGATGATGTGGAATTAAAATAGGCTGGGAAACGAGACCAGGTGCTGATCTAGATTACCATTGACCATGGGGAAATCACCCCATTGTACCTCCATTTGTGAGGCCCCTTTCAGCCCTGTCTGGTATTTCTTATCTTCCCGCTGCCCTCAGCCCTAAGGCTGATCATTTGTTTGTTGATACCTAAGTGTTGAAATTGGTCTGAGTCTCCAGGAGAAGGTATCTTTATCCATGGCCTTCTTGGACTGTCCCAACAACTAAGTCCCTGTCTACCTCTGTGAAGAGGAACTCATTTAGTAGATTTGACACTGTGTGTCACATGGCAGCATCATGCCTTTTAGTTAGTGTCACACTTGGGGAACATAAGGTCCACTATCTTGTAGACCCTCCAGAATAGCTTCCATTTCCTCTCTTGGAGAAAGAAAAAAGAATTGCCCTCTTGGGATAGTGCCATGGTTACTGTGAGTAGAAGTGTCTGGAATTAAAGAACTTAGGTCCAGAACACAGTGAACTGTGTACAGATATCATCATTCATTCATTTATTCATTCACTCTATTACTTGAGAAACATTAAGTACCTATTTTGTGCTTGGCATGGGGGATAGAATGACGAATAAGAAAATGACTCTTTCCACTGCCTTCTCTGCCTTACCCTGTCCAGGTAACAGGCCTGGCCTCCACTCTGCCATGTGGCCCTGAGGCAGAACTTAAATGAGGAGCCTGGTTCAGAAGGAAGTGGTAGAGCATTAAGCTCTGTTCTTCCAAGGGCACCCTGGGCTTGTTACCCACAACATTGACCTTCATCCCAAACTCTTGTAGCCCATTCTTTTTGGCCTACAACACTGACCCATTGTTCCTCAGGCTTGGATTTTTTTTTTTTCCTGTTGCCTAATTTCCTTGATTCTGTATGCCTCACCTACCTTGGTCTTAAATGTTAAAACCCGACAGTTTTTAGCCTCTTGGACTAATTCACTGGCTTCCTAAAATGACCACTCTTGACTCCTCTGGCCTTGCTTGGCGTCTCCAGACTTGACTAATGCCAGACCCAGTGACCACTAAACCAGGTCCTGGTCTTGCTCACACTGGCTGCTTTCATCTGGTGCTGGGAAAAAGCGACCCCATTCTCTGAGTGCCCCGGGACTCTCATGCAGGTAATTGCATCACTTACCTCACTGCCCAAACCGGCAGCCTTGCATCCTACCTCCTTTATTTCACCATAACAGGAATGTGCTCAGACTTTTATTTTAATATCTTTTCTCCTTATTAAATATTATGAAATATATATTAAATACACTTGCATATCTGTTTAGTGGGTTTGATGCCCATCATAGAGTTATTGTAACTCTCCTGGTATATTTAAATTAATTCAGTTTCCTCTGATATACGTCACAATTTCATTTTCACAATGAAAAAAAATCTGCAGTCTAGAAAGCAGAGGAAGGGCACAGAAAGTTTCTTCTAGAAACCCTTGCTGCTGGTATCCACATCTTTAGGAGATTCCTGGAATGTAGTGAAAGAAGCAACTGCCTGGGATTATGCTCGAACCTGACCTCCCGGATACCCACCCACTTCTCGAGCCTGTATGTTTACGTGCTTCCTTCTTCCAGCTGTAGCTCCCTAGTCTCTGCCACTGATCTTCTTGGTTGGATTCACCTAGAGTTAGGAATTGACACCAGTTTCAAGTTATGTTAAGATTGCTATCTTAATCCCATAATGAGGCAGATTCTGAACTTTTTCTTGGGGCCACTTTTAGTCTCTGTGACACACCGAGGAAGCTCATGAAGGAATGGAACCCATCGAGAACACCTCACAACACAGGTTGGGCAGTGAGAAGGAAGAGACATTCTAGGAACCGATGACATGGCTTCATGACACAAGGTTGTCTCCATGCTACACTGCAAGGTTCAGTTTGCTATTGGCTTAAGAGAGAATAGGGTCTGCTGTGTGATTTCAGGTGGGTGAACGACACGAGGAGGTCAGTGTCCAAGAAGAATGGTTTGCCAACAACACACACAACTGCCTGGGACAGGGGAGCCCAGGGCTAGGAGATGAGTCCACAAAGACAGGATGAGAATCTTATAAGAAAACATTTCAGAGGAAGTCCGAGGCAGAAGGTAATGCATCGCAAGAAGAAGGGATGTAGCTTCCTTGAAACCAGAATATCACCTTACTTGGAGACTGTCCTAGGTCATGTTTTCTAGGAAATCCCAGGTTGGAAGGAATGGGAAGGGAAGAAGAGGGACTGGGCCCTCTACTTGACAGTTTTCTTATCAAGAGAGCTCCGGGCTGCCACTCTTTGTCCCAGAAGCATTTAGGGTCAGGAAGCCCCTGTCAACATCTGTTCCCTCTTCTGTGTCTCCTTTCCTCTGGCATCTAGCAAGAGGGTTGTGGTTACTCATTGCATGTGCCAAGGCTCTGGTGCCCTTACAACCCGCTTTTTGAAATAATTGAAGCTAAAACTCTCAATGTAGGTCATGGCACTTGGACTTCTCAAAAGATCTGCCGGACACATTTATGTGTACATAATTCTTCCTTCCTCTGATTTGGGAGCGGGTCAAATGCAGGGTTGTACCTGAACTTGACATTGACTTCTCATTGCTGTCAAGGCAAGCATCAGAAGATGGACTGGCTTTTCCGAGGAGCCTCCTCACATTAAACCATAAGAGTTGGGCCCACAGTGAGGATTGTTTTGCTCACCTCGAACTGACAGCATAAATCTTTTTAAAAAGATGAGCTTTAAAAAGATATCTGGGGTTACTAATATGATCTCTTTATGAGCACATTTTTTATTAGAAGTGACAGACTGGAAACCACATACGCTACTGGGTAAATCCTTTCTGGTGGATTACAAAGTACCGTTGGATAAGATGCACTTTAGCACCAATAATCTATTGTAGCTCTTATGATAATTGTGAAGTGAGGCCAGTCTTCTGCCCCATCCCCAGAGGCCCTGAGTATTCTTTCAGCTCAAGGGGCTCAGGACTCAGTGATGGGATGTTTTCTCCAGGTGAGTCTCCATGGGCCCAGACTCCTTGTTTGAGGTCAAGATTACATTTTCCTACTTCCCCAGTTTTCCCAGTATTGCCCCAGTACTAGTGCAAATGACTAATGTTTACTAGGGAAGGTGGGAGAGAAGTGATTTTATGAATGAAAAATTCACCATTCTTAACACTTTGGAGATAGTCTTACCAACCCTGAAAGCCTTCCTCTGACACAGAATAAATGTCTAAGAGACTTTCCACCCTTACTTTTAAATAAGATTCTCATTTCTGTAAAGAAGACCCTTGAGGATAAGATACTCAGGATTTTTTAAATCTCTTTCTACCAACCACATTTTTTATTAAGAACGCGATTTTAAGAGTTCGTTAGCCAACCCTAGATATAGGTATATGTACTTTCCACCTAGGTGTGTGGTGTGGCATAGATTTCTTCCTCTCATGGGAACTCAGTTTTCTCATTTGGTAAGCAGAAATGTTTGTAGCCATTCATTTCCAATTAAATGTCCATTAATAGCAGATTGGTTAAATAAATGGGTTTATGTCATTTTTGCTGTTGTTGAAATGCTCAAAAAATATGGAAAGATATGTAAGGTATATTAAATTTAAAAAGCAATAGTTGGAATAGTTCATGTAATATGATCCCACTTGTTTAAAAAAATATGTGTATATGTGCTTATACATGCAAACAAAGATTTTGGAAGAGAAATCAAATAAACTATTCACTGTAATTGTCTTTGGAACATAGGACTCTGGGATGAAGGAAAATTGAAATTTTTACTTTTCATTTTATCCTCTTCTAAAGTGTGGGCTTTTATGGTCATGTGCAAAGGAGTCTGGTGGATATATTGTGGTTATTTTTAACTCCAAATTACCATAATTTTATTTTTTGGCTTCCCCTTAGATATTCTTTTACAAATATATATATTTGTAAATGTGCATTACTTTTGCTCATGGCTAAATCTGTCTCGGTTTACATCTTCTGTCTGTAAACTGTTCAGAAGCAGCACTTATAGTCACTGAAAACTTTTATTCTAATTTGATGTACCTCCCATTTGAATTTGGAAGAATCTGCCATGATAAACATTTCTAATTTTGGATTTTCTCTCTTAAGTGAAAGATAAAAAATAACTCTTTTGGATTTTTTTCCATTTAGTTCTCATTGGTTTTTTTGGCGGGGGGGGTTGTTTTGTTATTTGTCTGTAAACAAAGGAGATAAGGTGGTCACCACAATATTTCATGCCAGTTGATTTTCCTGAATGAGTTCTGCTATGAGAAGGCATGCGACATCCCAAGTCAGAAAGTGGCTGCTGGTCGCAACACTCCAAAGGCATTTCAGAAAATTGTATTAGCCTCAATTACACGTGATAAATATTTTCCCTGAGCTAGTTATAAATTTGTAGTTTTAGGACACAGTCGGTTGAGTGTCTGACTCTTGGTTTCGGCTCAGGTCATGATCTCAGGGTCGTGAGATCGAGCCCGGCATTGGGCTCCATGGTCAGCGCAGAACTTGCTTCAGATTCTCTCCGTCTCCCTCTGCCCCTCCCTGCTCACATTCTCTCTCTCTCTTTCTCTCTCAAATAAATAAAATCTTTTTAAAAAATTTGTAGGTTTAATCAGCTATTTCAGGCAGGTATTGTAAGGGCCAAATGGAATTGAATCAAATACTACAAGACCTGCATTTTGGTCTGGCTGAATGAGAGCTGCCAGTTTGAAAAATGGAGCTGAGGGTATGGCCTGAGCTTCTGAACAAATCGTACCTGCTGGCCAGCCCTAGGATTTGAGCTCCCCAGGACTCCCCACTACTGTAGTGTCTCAGGGAGAAGAAACAGTTGAGGCACTTTCAGGTGACAGAGATGAAGGTTTGCTTGTGGTTGAAAAACCTAGTATCTCTCCAGTGCAAAATGACAAGGGTGATCAGGGTTTTAAAGCCAGCATTTGTATGGGAAGGTTAAAAGAAAAAGGAATGTTTCACTTGGAAAAGAGAAAAACAATTGAATATCGGAGTTGTGAGGGATGTCAGACATCATCTTGTTGGAGCCCCTTCATTGTACAGATGACATTCGAAGTCAATAAGTCAATGAACACCATAGAGCTCACTCAAGATGATGCAGAAACTAGGACTCACGTGTTCTGACCCCCCTGCCCTGGCATGTTTGCATGTCATCCCCAAAGGCCATGTTCTTTCCATTCTATCACATTTATGAGGTCATGATTCTTAAGAAGCACAAATAGGATAAATGCATAAGGTCCTCAGCGCAGAGTCTGCCAAAGGGAGGAAACCATTATGTGTTAATTCCTTTTGTCCCCAGCATGTCTCCTGCCATGACAACCAGTAAATAAGGGTAGAACTATACCTAGAATTGATCGCCATCTTTAAACGGATGCCCTCTGTGCTTTTTCACAAAAGTAGAATGTAAGTTCATATTTCAGCAAAACATAAAAAGTAAGAAAAAAACCTGTCTAATGAAGAGAATTGTCCAGCAGTATAAAAGGCTGTGCTCAGAGTGAGCTGAGTTTCTCATCACAAGCTATATTCAAGAGCGCCAGGTGGCAAATCAATCCAAGATTCCCTCAGGGATTCTCTTAATGAATTTAAGCTATAATTAGATGATTTCTAAGAGTCTGTCTTTAACTTGCAGGCAGTGAGGACGAATGAGGAGAAGGGTGTACCCGGGACAATGTTGAAAAGATTCATCTGATAGCAGCAACAAAAGGGGGAGCAGAAATGCAAATGGAGAGCTAGTTAGGGGCTGTCAACTATCAACTATCAACTTAAAATCACAGAAAAGTCAATGCTGGATCAACCACAAATGTTTCAGGGTCCAGTCTGCATTAATTTCATCTCTCTTCACAAAACTGTGTGCATCCTGAGTCACAGAGCTGCTGGGCATTCCACTCCTGGCCAAGCTCTTTAAAATTCCCCGTGACTAGTGCATCTGCTCATGCCAGTGACCACCCAGGAAGAAGGCAAGGGCGCTAAACAGTGGGGATGAATGATTGCTCAGAAACAGATTGTGTTCAGCTAAGCTAGTGTGCCTCTTTCATTATCGTGTCTTCTCTCCTTAGGTTATGTTGACATCGGACTGATTCCAAAAGGAGCAAGGGACATACGGGTAATGGAGGTTGAGGGAGCTGGAAACTTTTTGGCCATCAGGAGTGAAGACCCCCAAAAATATTACCTCAATGGAGGATTCATTATCCAGTGGAATGGGAACTACAAGCTGGCGGGGACCACCTTCCAATATGACAGGAAAGGAGACCTGGAGAGACTGATGGCCACGGGTCCCACCAATGAGTCGGTGTGGATCCAGGTAATGCAGAAGCAAAGGCAGCTGCTCATGTGTGTATTAGTTAGGGTCTTTCTGTTTCTTTTCCAAGGTGTTTGTTAGGGGGCACTCATTAAGAACCCTTAAAACTTCTTTTAACAAGGAGCAGGGAGGAAAGCAAGATATTATTTTGTGCTGTTAATCCTTTATTGCCTAGAAATTGCTGAAACCCCGATAATGAAGTGCCATGGGCCCTGAAGTCATCTACTGGGAGTTTTGAGTTCAGCTTCCAGTATGATTGAAATAGGCTGTTCATTTGAGGGTGATTGTTTCTCAGGTGTGCAGAGGATGCTGTCAGTCGACGTCAGTCTGGCGTGAGCTTCCAGGTAGCTTTCCAGCAGTGGTGATGGACTGACATGTTTTTTTCATATGCTATCATGTGGTTGTTCGTAGGCAGGAGGTTTGACTTTGTGAAACTCTTAGGGGAGGAGGGGATCAGAATGTAGTATGTGCACTTTAAAGACACGGGTGATTCATCTTTCATGTTGGCCAGGAACCATAGAGAAAGAGTGGAATCATTATACCAGTAGAGACGAGGCAGGTTGGGGATGACAAATGGCCCAAGAAAGAGTCAGATCTAACCATATTCAGAAGTTAGAGGGAGGCGATTCCAGAGCCAGAGATCAGAGCACTCACAAAAGCCAGAAATCAAGGCTTGACAGCTATGATTCATAAATGTCTACCTGACATCTTACCTGCCTGCTTGGCAAAGGATTTGTATACGGGAACCCTGATCCCAAGGAGCAACCAATCCATCACCTCTAAGTTTAAGATTAATCCATTTTAAATGTGTAGTAAGTGGCGCCTGCATGGCTCAGTCAGTTGAGTGTCTGACTCTTGGCTTCTGCTCAGGTTGTGATCTCAAGGTCATGAGATCGGCCCCATGTCAGGCTCTGTGCTCAGTGTGGAGTCCACTTGGGATTCTTTCCCTTTCCTTGTGCCCCTTGCCCTGCTTGAATGCTCACTCGCTGTCTCTCTAAAATAAGTAAATAAATAAAATCTTAAAAAAATAAACGTGTGTTAAGTAGATTGCTGAAGAGAAGGCCCCAAGAGTGGTATGCCTTGCTAAAGCCGTGACAATTTTTACCCCAGAACTATATGCTTTAAAGGAACTAACCAGCCTGAGAGCTGGAGAAGAGTTTGTAAGACAACAGCAACAACAATAATAAGTGTCAATGTTTATAGAATGCTAACTACATGCCAGGCACTATTCTATTCATGCGAATCACTGTACATTTATTTACTTACTGAACTCTCACAACACCCCTATTAGTCATGCTATTATTATCCTCACTTTGTAAATGGGGAAACTAAGGCACAAAGAGATTAAGTAACTTACCCGTAATCACCAAGTTAGTAAGTTCACAAGAGTGCAAGGTGACCCACCAGTCTGTTGTTGGAAAAGATGCTACCCCATTCCCTCAGAGCAGTTTCCATAGGATTAGACCTCCGTGGGAATTCAGCCAAGAAATGATCGAATGGACAAGAGGTATAGAGAGATAAAGACACGGATGTAGGTAGATAGAGCTACAGATATAGAGAGATGAATCGGTGGACGTAGAGGCAGAGGTGGAGATACGTTCATTTGTTGGCATTTTCTCTGACGCATGCCTTCGTCCCTAAGATGATGGGCATTCTGTAGTGTAGTCACACAACGGTGTTCTGCAATATCAAGTCATGACAGTGTTGTCACCCTTCTTTTGCCTTTTAGCTGCTGTTCCAGGTGACTAACCCCGGCATCAAGTATGAGTACACAATCCGGAAAGATGGCCTTGCCAACGACGTGGAAAAACTGGGGTATTCCTGGCAGTATGGCCGTTGGACTGAGTGCAGTGTAACATGTGGGACAGGTGAGCGACAGCTGCTGTGTATGTGAATCCATGTCCGCTTCACGAGGGGCCATCGGGTGGTGCCCAGAGGTCCCAGCCTTCCACACACGTGGCCCAGGGGCCTCTGTGGGAGTAAATATGCTGGTCATGGTCTAAAGACAGAGGCAGTTTTCCCTTTATACTGTCCTTCGTGAAAGGTTTTGTATGAAAAAAACGTTGCGTGTCTTGCTTTGTTTTGTTTTCAGGTTTCTGGAGCTATAACCCACACAAAACATTGTGTACGTTTAAGGTCTACAACTGGACGGCTTGGTACACGTGTGTTTTGTGAAATGTTTACCACATCAGGCCAGCCACCACACCCATCATCCCACAGAGTTACCTTTTCGGGGTGTGGTGAGAACATGTAAGATCTGCTCGCTTAGCAACTTTCAAGAATACAATACAGTATTACATGTGTTTTATTTTTATCTATTTTTATAAATTTAATTTTATTTTACTACGTTATGTTAGTCACCATACAGTACATCATTAGTTTTTGAGGTAGTGTTCCATGATTCATTGTTTGCATATAACACCCAGTGCTCCGTTACATGTGTTTTAAAAAGCAAAACAGAAAGACTTAATAACCTGGTTGAGGACCTGACTTCTACAAAAGTCAAACACTGCACCCAGAGGCAGACTGTAAATAATGGCCAAATCCAAACCATAACAAGCTCTCCTGATTCCCACCCACTGTTCTTTTTTCTGTCTCCAATTTACCAAGTATTTGTATCTATGAAGAGAGTAGTTTTCTCTCATAAAATCGAACATTGGAGAGATTCCTTGCTGTTAAGTATGTCAGGATGGAGTAAGTTCTTTATTTTTTTTAAGATTTATTTATTTATTTGAGAGAGAGAGGAGTGACAGAGGGAGAGAGAGAATCTTGAGCAGGTTCCCCGAGGGGCATGGAGCCCGACGTGGGGCTTGATCTCACAACCCTGAGATCATGACCTGAGCTGAATCAAGAGTCTGATGCTACTAAACCAACCAAGCCACCCAGGCACCCAGGATGGACAAAGTTCTGCTACCATAATAAAGAAATCAGAATCTCAGGAATTCAACACAATGTAGGTTTATTTCTAACCCATTCTTTTTTTTGTTTGTTTTTTTAAAGATTTTATTTATTTATTTGACAGAGAGAGGCACAGCGAGAGAGGGAACACAAGCAGGGGGAGTGGGAGAGGGAGAAGCAGGCTTC